TATGTTGTGTAGAAGTTTGAGCTCATCCAATCAAAATTAGATTTTTTGACCTTAGGGAAATATACATGTATACATTGTAGGTAGTGGTATTCAGAAGATATTGAAGGTGTGGCCACAGACCAGTGTCCTGCCCCCTCAGATTCACTACTTGATGTTAGCACCAATCCCAGTACAGATTGGACTCAATAGGTCAATGGAAATCAAAGAGAGGGACAGAATGGGGACATCAAATTTAGTGAGTAGTGAACAACATTCATGTACATCTACTTTTTGATTTACATGTACAGTGTACAGTACAGTATGTATAGCAATGCATCTATAGATAAGGAACTCTCCCATTTGAGAGAGACTGTGTTGTACATGTACAGTATGTACATGTAATTATTGTGTATTAAATCTCATCATTAATTTTCTTGTTACTTTCAAGAGTCCAGATAATGGGATTATCTTATTATTATTGTTATTGCTTCTTTTATCTCGGTTTAACTTATAATGTACACGTACATGTACATGTATATCAATTTTCTTTGCATTCATCATGTATTGTATGTACATATACTCTTCCTGTCCTCCTCCTCTTAGTTCTATCAAAGGATGTGGTATCTTGTGAGGCCAGTCATTCCCTGGCAGAGTGTGTCTTACTGGGTGTCTGGTCTATGACTATTGAGCTATTGGGACGGGTCTCTCCTGAGTCAGTTGGCAAACTCAAGCACTCAATATTCAACCAGTTGCAAGGTAAAAATATTTGACGGAATCAGCTCAAACTTTCTACATAGCATAAGGGCATCAAAATGTATCAAAAAATATGGGGTGACTTTAGAGTTGTTTAATGAAATGCTAGTTACTTTTAAAAATATTTGTCAGGATTGCATTAAAATTTTTATGCAAAAGCGCATCAATATTTGTGTTAGAAAAAGTAATAAAAATTTTGGGTGGTTTTGAAGCTATTATTTACTCAAAAATCAGTCCAAAGTCCCAGTATGATCATAAACCAATTTTTTCCAAAAATGAAAAGAAGAGAAGTCTCTTTTTATACAATTCCCTAATACATGCATGTACATGTACATGTTTACATGTTTCTAAGTTCTGTGAAAAGTTTGAGCTCATTCTGATCAAAATTGGACTTTCCCTCTTTTTAATAACTTTATTATTATTGTAGATGTTTCTTGAATGGGAGGAGACTCTGTTGTTGCTATGGCAAGTTCATTTAGGCTCTGATGAGGACTTTATTAATGGACAATATTATTGTTTGATTTTATTTATTATTGTTATTATTATTACTATTATTTTGTTGTTTTGGTCATTGTTGTATTTGTTCTTAATTTTTTTACAAACACAGCTGCAGCTTTATTCCAATACTTCCTTTTCCTGCTACCACTTAAATTCACACCTTGAGATGGTAACAAGGTATTTAAAACAACTTGCAGTTAATGCTCTTTTAGCAGCTAATAGATTAACAACAATGATACATGAAATGATTGAGTAGTGATGAGAAGTGAGTGATAGTCATTATATAGGACTGGTGGTGAATGCATACCATATCCTACATTATCTGATACATTACACCAGATCCATTGATGGATACACAAGATAAAAGTATCAATCTTTTAATGTTACACTAGGAGTCATTACATTGTGTATTGTCTCAAGTCAATAAGGTTGAAGAAGGACCTCCTCACAGGATTGACCCTTTACACTGCTTGATACACCACATGTATACACATGGGTAGATCTAATGAGTAAAGTTGCTGCACTGCATGTAT